GTCGTGAGGCCCACGAGCACTTTGTGTTGGTTTTGACGGGGACGGCGGGGGTGACAGCATATTCCCTGCTGCGCGCAGGGCTACCATCCCAGACAAACAAAAACAAAACAAAATGCACCTCGCGGCTGAATCTGGATCATGCGCGGCCATCCCGCGATCACTGTCAAGTGGTTTTTGACATTGACGGCCAGGGTGGTGGCGCCTGGCCTGCTGTGCACAGGCCCACCAGCCAGACGTAAACGAGCCACCCGAGCAAAGCACAGCATAGCGTGGGGCTGAGCAAGCAGCCCAGCGCACCTGTGTCGAATGCCAACAGTGGCAACCTCAGGTGGTTGAACAAGAAGGCTAAACCAATCATGAGCAATCCACGTGGGGGTGCATCCCACCATTGCAAGGCGGCAGCTGCAAACACGGCCAGGCTGTGGCAGTGTCTGGGGACCAGGGGCCAGGAACATGCGAGCATGCTAGCTGGAGCTGGTCGACGTGCAAGTCACCGGGACGCCAGGGTTACCTCACCAGGCTCAAAGGAGCCAGCACGGACACCAACAGACGCCAGGGACTGAGGGCGAAAGTCCGGGAGCCGCAACTAGGCTGTGGTCGGCGGCAGGGCGGCGGTGGCCAGGGTGGGCCAGAAGGCGCCAAGAGGGGCGGCGCAGCAACAATTTGGGACACATTTCGGCCGTGGACTCGACTGCGCACTGTCTCCCCGGCGCTCAGGAGCGGGCTCCGCATCGACGCCGCGGGAGCGATTCTGGCGCCACTCCGCCGAGCGCGCGGCCGGTTGCACGACTCTAGGGACGGAGGAGGAGGAGGAGGAGGAGGACCAGTGTAAACCCAAGAGTCATCAACGATGTTGGAGTACACCCTCCCTCCAAGCTCCCTCTTCATAGGCCCCAATACAACGGTTCATTTCCACTGAGGGAACTGCCTCGTTGGATAACAACCATCTGAGGACCCTGAAGCACACCAAAACATTGTTCTCGGGATTCCAGCGCCACGGATCAACCTGACTGTTGTGTCTTGACGATCCTGAATCGTGCCAGAACGCCATTCCAGGGACTTCGACACCGCGAATCAACGGAACTGTTACACCCTCATAATTATGAGCCCTTCCCAAACACCATGTCTGGTACGTTGATCATGGGAATCCGCGAAAGCCTTGCAAAGTTTAAACACGAATGAGCACGGCGCTAAGACGAGAGCCACATATTGGAAAGGAGCCGCCCTCAATCCGTGAAACTCGTGCATAAGTTTTAAACGAATGCACGTGGCGCTAAAGCGAAAACCACATTTTGCCCTCAGTCCGTGAAACTCTTGCAAACGTTCAAAACGAATGCACGCGGCGCTAAGGCGAGAGCCACATTTTGAAAACGGCCCGCCCTCAATCCGTGAAACTCTTGCAAAATGGTAAAGCGAATATGCGCGGCGCTAAGGCGAGAGCCAAATTTTGAAAACCACCCGCCCTCCATCTGTGAAACTGTTGTCAATGTTTGAGCTTCGGGGTCATAAATGGTGAGGGAGCCTCAGGCGAAACGCCTGGCCCGCCCTAAAAAACTGGCCTCGGGGTGCGACAGGGTCATGTTATTTATAAGGAAAAGGAATTCAAGAGGAGGAGGAGGAGGAGGAGGAGGAGGTTGCAAAAAGATTGCAGCAGAGTTCCAATCAGTAGCGACGCCACAGCTGGACTACGACACTCCCCTGTGGGGGCGGTTCACGATAGCACACTATCTCTTCTGAGGCGAGGAGGAGGAGGAGCAGGAGGAGGGGGAGAAGGAGGGGGAGGATGGGGAAGAGGGGAGGGGGAGGGGGAGGGGGGGTGGAGGGGGGGTGGGGGGGGGGGGGGGGGGAAGGGGGAGGAGAGAGGGAGGCAAAGCAAACCCAACATACATCGGCGATGTTGCAAGCCATCTTCCCTGACCCCGGAGTTGCCAGACCTCCCGGGCGTGGCGCGTGCCACCCCTGGGGCCTGGCGCAGTGTGGCGCGGGACTTCCTCGCCGGGCCCAAGACTTCCTCGCCGGGCCCAAAGGAGGGCTCCGAGACGGATCCAGAGGCACGGCGGCGGGATGGGCCGAAGGTCCTTTAGTGCAACAGGCATGTCCTACCAACTTCCCTTTTTCAATGAGTACCTACCAGACCACCCCAGACCAACCCGAAGCCCCGAACTTAATCCGAATTTCGGGTTGGGGGTTACGGGTTCCACGTGTTTTTATTTAATGTTCCCCGACCCCCCCCCCCCCACTGGAAGTGGAGGGCACATTGAGGCCTTCGGGTTGGGCTGGGGTGATTTGGTGGGTGGTGATAGACGTACTGCCATCAGAAGAGGCCAGCACCCCCTCGGACGAACCCTCGAAGCTCGAAGACGTCTCGGGCGAGACCGATGTCGAAAAAATAAAACGGCATCAACAATAACAGCAACAACCGTAACAACAACAAGAACGACAGCAACAACAACAGCAGCAGCAGCAGCAGCAACAACAACAACAACAACAACAACAACAA